CCACTATCCGGTACCCCGATCGTAGAATTTAGGATGGTTTGGAATTCACGAATCCGTGTAAAATTCTAGATCAGTTAAAAAGGATATTTTTATTGTTGCAAGCATTGGCATATGTAAAATGAACTACATTAGACTGATTCTACTTTGGAAAAAAGGAAATTTATGTTATCGGAGATATGTAGGGCAAAACCCTCATTGGGTACGGTCTAAACATTAATAAAATCATTTTCCATAATCCTTTCTTCTTTGCCAACAAAAAAAAAATATAGATAAATAAAAAATAATAAATTTAATAATAAAAAACCCCGCTAAGTCGAAAACCGGAAGGCGGCTTAGGCAAAAGTCGGGCCCGCTAAGTTGAAAACCCGAAAAGGGCGGCTTAAGCAAAAATAGGGTAGGCTCGGCTAAGTTGAAAACCCCGAGGAGGGCGGCTAGAGGCAAAAAAAATCAGAGCTTGAAAAATAAGTTTGGAAAAATGCTTTGGAAAGCTTAAAGGACGATTGACGTGCCCATTAAAAGCAATAAAGTTCAAACAATTTTAAAGGTTAAGCAGAAGCCAAGAAAACCAAAAAAAAAAATAATAAAAATAATGGAAAATCCAAGTCAAAAAAAAAAAAAAAAAAAACAATAAATCCAATAACTTCCAAAGCCAAGTCCCAACAAAGAGTCAAAACAAAGCCAAAACACCAAAAGTCCAAAAGCCTATAAGAAGTCTAGGTGGCCCGTCGCCTCCATGGGGCAAACGGGGGTTCCCTCCGAGTCATCCCTAAACTATTGAACTCCTCCATCTCGGCCTGTCCGAGAAGCCAACACAATCTCCTCACCAGCGGTCCAGCTGAGTCCAACCTTCAAGTGCGCTCAGCAGTTGCTTTCCTCCTTTGGCCTTTCAATCGGCCAGACATCGGCCATGAACCAGGTTTTGATACTTTCAGGAGGAAGTTCGAATACCAACAGGATTAGGTAAAAGGCCTAAACCATATTGATGTCCCTAACCCAAGCCCTAAGGACACTCGGGTTAAACTTCCGCCAGTGATGGCTGAATCAGCTAAAGATCATTCCACGATCGGTACAGTCGATCTATTCCCATCTTGCCTCATAACGCGCGAAGCCCCCCCCCCCCCCCACAGTACCAAGTACAAATGGGTAAGGCTAGAAGGTAAACCTAAAGTATTGGCGAGAGAGGCTTAACCTGGATAAAGCGGGTTCAAGGCCAGTACCAGGGGTATGAAAACCACAGCACTTCATTTGGACCCAATTCAATTAGCCATGAGAGTCTGCATCAGCGGGAACAGATGTGTTGATCAAGATCCTCCGCATGCGATACTGGGACAGGGTTATAAGGCAGTTAAGGTAGGACAGCAACCACTTTGGAGGTATCCTTTAACCCAAAACCTGAGTAATAGATCCTTTCTGTTTACAAGGGACAGACCAAGAAAAAAAAAAAAGAGAGGGGGGAAAAGGGAGAAGTACTTGGAGAATAATTCGGGAAACCGTCCAGTCCTCGGAAGCCTAAAGCAAGCTTTGTCAAGGACTTCTGATAATTTTCTGCCAGCACAATGCCACCAATTGCAACCCCCATATCCTCCCATCTGCCGAAACCATGGGGACAGAGTTGCAAATTCCCCGAAGCCTAGGTCCTTGTTGAACCAAGAAACCAGGCTAATAAACAGAAAACCCAAGGCCCGCATTCTCAGCCTTCATCTGGATCAGGGTTGTCTGAATTGGACCTTCTGGGAAAAACTCATCAATCAGGGGCAGCAAAATTGCTTTCTGATCACCAACTATCATGGCCTTTAGCTTGTGATCGGCTGAACTGAAACAAGTTTTCAACGACCGAACATACCCGATTTTTGAACCGCTCATGCTTGACAAAGGGGCATTAGGGTTCACACCCTATGAAGCACAGAATTCTCAAAAAAGAGGGCACATCTCCTCCATCATTTTGGCCCCGGAACCGAAAAACGTGGGGCTCAGGGTCCAGATTCTGGATGCAGGCCCATAAAAAGTACAGTCAAAAAACTACTACCCCCCTAAGGGTAATGAATAGGAGAGATACCGTACTCCCCAAAGTTGATCTTTCGACTTTAGAAGAGACCTCCTAGTTCCAGCTGTGCATGCTTTGATTTTAAAAGAAGGGATCATTCTTTGAAAAAGAACAGAAGAAGAGAGAAGAAAAAAGACATGAGTTGATAAAACCAAAACAAAGAACCAGTTTTTATAGAGAAAATGCACCGAAATGAGGGCCGCAGCAAGCCGCCGAATTTACCGCCGAATGGATGCGGCAGCAGCCGCCAACGGTGGGGCCATAAAAAAAATAAAAAATATAAAAAAAAAAAATTTTGCCCATAAGCTGAAATGATGAAGTCCCATTTTATTTCAAATACAATAAACAGTGCATTAGGTCAAAGTTGTGAACCCCTTCCCGAATGTCATAGCATGTGATGCATATAACTAAGATAAGGAAAATTGCACCCGTGAATGTATGAGTCCGCACCTTGTTTAATTATTTTTAGGGTAAACTAGGGAAAAAACCTGAAATGACTCAATTTTAATTAACCTAGCTTTACTAGATTAATGTATCCCATGTTGTAAGGCATGGTTATTGGCAAACCGAGAGGGATCCCGAGACTATTGTCATGCCGATAAACTAACCGATGAATGATGCTTTGCAAGGTAAATGATGGATTATGAAATGTTTGAGTATTGTTGACTTTGCCACCCGGGGTGAAATCCCGAAACGGGCCTACGTACTCCGTTTGATGGAAGATACAAAGTCAACGTAGTTCGATTTAGGCTTGTTTTCAAGGGGCCTTTGAAGGTGTTATGCTTAATGCGATGGTGTGTTGTGTGTATGCCTCCGTGCATTGTTTTGTGTATCTATTGTGCATGTTTTGTGTATGCTTTGTGCATGAGTGTGTTATGCTTTTGTGGCATGTTTGTGTATGCTTTGTGCATGAGTGTGTATGCTTTGTGCTGAGTGTGTGATCTTTTGTGCATTTTGTCTTAGGCTCTCGCCAAGGATTAATTGATTTTTTAGGCATGGTTTGCCAAAACAATGTTAATTTTGAGGCATTTGTGCCCAAAATGGATCATTTTAAAACGATTTTGTCGCTTTAAAAGATTGATTTTAAAGGCCTTTTGGCTGAAAAAATGGTTCATTTTAAGGGCATTTCGCCAAAAATGTCGGATTTTTACGCGAAATTTGTCGCTAAAATGGTTGATTTTTACGGTTTTTTACCGAAAAAATTGGGTTGATTTTAAGGGCATTTTTTGCCAAAAGAATTGATTTTTACGCGATTTGTCGCCAAAAATTATAGTTGACTTTAAGGCCTTTGGCCAAAAGGTGTTGTTTTTTTAGGCAATTAGTTTTGCCAAAATGTGCGATTTAGGCTTTAATGCCCACGATTAATCAATTTAATCGGGCGTTCGAGCTTAATCACAATTTATTTGTCGGAAACAGGTTGATTGATTAAGGCTTTTAGCACAATTATTGATAATTGGACTTAAGCCAGATTTTTTATTTCGAAATAAGGCAATTGGAACACGTAGTTATTAATTAACTAGGCTCCTTTTAGCCCAATATCGTCGGATTTTAAACTTTTAAATACCACGATTTATTGATTAACCGGGCTTTTAAAGCTTAATCAAATTAATTAGGCAGTTTATTTACCAAAAATTAATGACGTGGATGTTTTTATTTGCAATTGTAGAATTATTAAGAGGTAGAAGGAGAAATATGCATGAAGTGCTAAAATTAAATAGGCAGAGTTTGTTTTAACATACCTGATCTTAATCACGGACCGCCTCTTTAAACTCCAGTTAAGCTCCTCGCTTTAGGAAATTATTAATTAATTTTAATTGTTAATTTAATGTCCAAAATATTCACAATAAAAATGCAATTAAAAATTAAATTAATGCAAAAAAAAGCGGTAAAGAAAACGCAAGGAGCCGTGAGAGGGAGGAAGATTCGTCCGTCAACACAGACAGGGGTACCAAGAAAATAGCTGAAAAATGGTCTATTTATAGGCCATTTTCGTGGTCCCGGGCGGCAGTTGCCGCCCGGTGTGGAGGGCGGCAGCTACCCGCCCTGTCGGTGGGGCGGGCAGGCCCCGCCACGCTGGCGGGGGGTGCCGCCTGGGAGCGCTGGCAGCTGCCGCCCATTTCGGTGGGGCGGCAGGGGGCCCCGCCTGGTCTGGGCGGCAGGTGTCGGCCCAAGCTGGCGGCAGGTTGCCGCCCAGGGGCGTTGGGGGGGCCAGGCCCCGCGGCGCTGGGCGGCACGCCTCGCCCACGCGGGGGCGGACAAGCCCGGCGCGCGCTGGGCGACTGGCCTCGCCGCGCGCG